GTGAAAACGCCGCAGTATATGTTTGGATCTCTGATGTGATCTTGGTTCCTTCGCTTGCGCAATTGCACCATTGTTGTCGCAAAGCAACTCGATGGGCTCCACCATGCTTGGAACAACACCTAGATCACCAAGGAATTTTCTGATCCAAACCGCTTCCTTTGCAGCATCCGATGCAGCTATATACTCGGCCTCTGTTGTGGAGTCTGCAATGGTGGGCTGTTTGGAACTTTTCCAACTCACTGCACCGCCATTCAAGCAGAACACAAATCCAGACTGCGATCTGAAATCATCCTGGTCTGATTGGAAACTAGCGTCGGTATAACCCCTTATAGCGAGCTCAGTATCCAATCCACCGTATACCAAGAAAGCATCCTTAGTCCTTCTTAAGTACTTCAGGATATTCTTGACGGCTGTCCAGTGAGACTCTCCCGGGTTAGACTGATACCTACTGGTCATGCTCATAGCGTATGATATATCAGGTCTAGTGCACAACATGGCATACATGATGGATCCGATAGCTGAAGCATATGGGATTCGACTCATCCGCTCTCGCTCATCAAGTGTCTCAGGACACTGAGTCTTGCTAAGAGTAATGCCATGTCTCATCGGCAAAAGTCCTTTCTTAGAATCTTGCATTCTAAACCGATTTAGAATCTTATCGATGTATGCACTCTGACATAGGCCAAGAAGCCGTTTCGATCTATCACGATAGATCTTAATCCCTAGGATATAGGCTGCTTCACCCATGTCCTTCATTGAGAAATGTTTTCCTAGCCAAGACTTGACGTCTTTCAAGGTAGGAACATCATTCCCAATGATTAATATATCATCTACGTATAAGATAAGAAACACTACCGCACTCCCACTAATCTTTTTGTAAACACACGGCTCATCTTCATTTTGGATAAAGCCAAACTGTTTGACTGTTTCATCAAAACGAAGATTCCAACTTCTGGAATCCTGTTTTAGTCCATAAATGGAACGCTGAAGCTTGCATACTTTGTTCGGATACTTTGGATCAACAAAAGTCTCATATATAGATTAACTAGAGCATTACAACCTTCACAATGGTGATTACCCGTGAAATGTAATCCGAGATCGACTCAGAATTCCCTTGTTGTAGACTTTCGAATTGCGATCGTAAAGATTGCAACCGAATTTTCTTCACCTTATCGACTCCTTCGTAAGTTTTGTTATTTTACAAACTTCAAACACACATTCCAACATCACCAAATCTTAGGAACAAGTTTAGTCTCCAACAACGGCTTCAGTTTTATGGGGGAATATTACTCAAATAACTCACTTGGGTCGCAGCAATTTCAGTGTACACCACCGAAAAAAAAATTCAATTTTAACCCACTTTTCGGTTGGAAAAGTCCGTAATACCCTTTTCGTTTTATTTTTTGCGACCTTATTACGACTAACATATAACTGATATATAACTAGAATAAGACAGATGATTTTTTTACCACCTTTTTTAGAATCAATTGTAACTATATTTAGAATTAATTACGAAGTCGTAATAACGAAGTTGTTTTCGAACGGATAAAAATCGCGTATTCATTAAGGGTAATTTCGTCTTTTCAACAAAAAAAAAAGTGTTATGTTTTTTCTGGTGTACACGTGAAATAGGTGCGACCCAAGTGGGTCATTTGAGTAAAATTCTCGTTTTATGGGTCTCTGACTCCGACAATATTAAATCCTTTAGTTTCAAAAGTTTGTACTTTTTCTGAATCAGAGTTTCTGCGAAGAAACAACATTACAGGAAAGCACTTATTCTTCATGTTGATTCCACCTTTCTCTATAAAGCCAAAAAAAAAAAAAGACTTCCTGGCATGCCAAAATGCAAAGGTCACTAGCTGCAGTTCGGGACTCATCACTAGTTCGTGTCAGAGTCCGTGACTGAAAGAGATCGACGAAAAATAACTTTTAACAAGTTTGACCGATTTTTTTTTTTAAAATCAACTTTGATATAACTATAACAGATTAATACTAAAATTTTTAAACTTGAAAAAAAACGAGATTATCAAATTTGAAAAATAAATACTAAACTTTTGAATTTTCAACGAAAACCTAATTTGGCATTAAACGAGTAAAGCCATTACGGAATGGCGTGGCACTGACATAAGACCCTACGTAAGTCAAAAAAAAAAAGAAACAAACAAATGGGATGGGTTTATGTAAGGGAATAAACCAGTTCAGATGAAACTGATTCAAAATTTGCAAATTTAATGTAGAAACTGATTCAAAATCTCGATCAAGAAGGTAGAAACCGGAGAATGTAAACGTGAAAAAGTCAAATTTCCAGTATTGGTAAGGTATAGAGATTGATGACTACGTAATATGACAGATTATTGACTATACACATACACATATGTATTGTATCCTCGGGTTCAACGGGAGACAGGATGCGGCGAGTGTGGTCATTTATGAGGAGTCTCAGGGTTCATAGGAGGAGATTCCTGAGGATGCTTGGGTTCAGAAGCCATCTGCTTCACAAGCTTCCCTTCCTTTGAGGCCACACTCCACTCTTTCCACGGAAACGGGCTCTGCTTGTCAATCAGAGCATTGACATCATAGGCTCCGCATTGCTTCACCGTGCAGCTATCGTGTGGACGCATACCCCACTCTTTTACAGGATAGAACTCAAATTCAACTTCATCATACATTATGACAGCGCGCGGCTTCATTACCTGTTGACAGAAGACAAACGTGTGGTCATGTCGAAGCTTCGGTGCGTCTTCCCACGGTTCCCAAAACCAGAAGATTCTCTCACTGCTGTGGCAGAACCCTTTTCTGGCTCTCCAACTGCCTATGCACTTAACCCCAAAACTAAGGTCTCTGGAGTTATTGTCCGAAAACGCCACAACAACTGACAAAACAAAGCCCACGGGCTGCTCTCTCTGAGATGCTAGCTGCATTGTTATCCGAGGATCTGTAGAGATATGCATTGTGGGGATTTCTCCTACAGAAGTGGGCAGACATACCTCGAGTTCAGGTGGTGCTCCAAACAATTCCTGTTCCAACAAGGCAAAACAAATCAGAACAGGAAGCATGTTGCACGACATAGGAAATTGGATAAACTTCACAAGTTTCTTTCCATCCCATTTCTTTTTTATTCTTTTCACCTCCCTTACCAGACTCTAAGTACATTTCTTATCGGTTTCCTTTTATCTAAGGTTATTCCAATTTTCTCCTTTATTCTTAGCTTTGGAGGTCTGGGTCTCAAGTTCTGTCTCAAAAAACTTGCTTTGTTATCAATAGGCAATGCGTATAATAAGAGAGAGGGAAAGAGAGGTACCATGTGCTCAAAACCAGCCAGAGCTTTTGCTGCAAGGTCTTTTACCACAGCCGGAGATAGAGCAAAGCAATTACTGAGTAGGCATTGTCTAGGAATCCGTTCGAAACACCATGTAATAGACTCCAGAGACGTACAACCATGCGCATCCAAG